CTATTTAACAGTTATTCTACGAACTCGAGTCGAATATGAGCTGATAGCCGACGAGGCGCGTAGCGCCGAATCGGCTATCGCTCATATTCGACGAGAGTGAGTGGAATAACTGTTTTATTATATACACAAGGTCTGAATTCACAGACTTTGCTTTTCGGATATTTTCAATATTTTTCTATTTTGTTTATGTTTTTATCTTCGCCGCTCTTTCGGCCAATTATTGTTTCAAAAATATATATTTTTAACTATTTTAAATTTTAAAAATTCATTTGCTAACCTGTAAACAATTTGAGAGAGTTTTTTCATTGTGTTTTTAATCTTGTAAAGGCTATTAAAACCGAACAACTTGCTGTGTTCTCGTTCGCAAAACGTCGGAAATTGAGTTTGAGCCGCCATTTTGTTTTTCTCTACTAGCAGGATATGAGCTAATATCCTGCTAGTAGAGAACCAATCAGATTGCAGAATACCACATATCCAGACCTTGTGTATATAATAAATTCATATATTCGTGTTCTGCGATTGTTTTTACGGCATGTGAACATGATTATACGAATATTCACCCCCCAATTATCGCGTCTAGTTACGGCCCTGCCTAGGATTAAGCTAATCGGCTTTCGAACAACTGGTCCCTGCTTTGGTTTGTGCATTTCTGCAAGTTCGTTTATTTCAAAACTTTAGAAAATAAACTCCTGATGATCCAAACAAGATTTCTGGAAAAATATTCCAAATTTATAAACAAGCTGCTGGGAAGACTGCTTTGACGTTCTTTTTCACCATAGGATTAAGCTAACCGAACAACCGGCCCTGGTAAAATACGCCAGTAATCAATTTAAGTAAAGTTCGCAATTTCAATTGAAGTGTCTCCCCAAAAATAGCATGCATTTCAGCTCATGTTGGTTAAGTCGAGTAGCATGCATTTCAGCCCATGTTGGTTAAGTCGAGTAGCATGCATTTCAGCTCATGTTGGTTAAGTCGAGTAGCATGCATTTCAGCTCATGTTGGTTAAGTCGAGTAGCATGCATTTCAGTTCATGTTGGTTAAGTCACTCTAATCAACATTAGCTCTGACAGCTATAACTGACCTTTAAATCTCTATTCTGTGACGTCACCCACTTGTTGATGAATTCCTACACAATAACATCAAAAAATACTTTAAACTTAGCGTTTAGTTCATGCATGCAGCAGAGCATTCATTCCAGCCACAGTATGAGCGGGCCTTGCTGGTATCTTAATCAAGGCGCGATACTTCAACATTTTTACTTGTACCTCACTGAGTTCAGTGATTATTTCCGGGTTCCTGAGCTTGGTAAAACATGCTCAGCATGTATACATATAGTCTTTAAAGTGCGACTACCCACAAATATGATCTTTGCTATGTGTAATACTTGAGTTATTCAAAGAAGAAATGTAATACATCTTTATAATAAAACATCCCATTTGATCAACTTTTTCACTGTCAAAGTTTGCGGATATGATGTCATTAGATGAATTGCAAATAACTTTTCCTTTGTTTTTTGTACCAAAAATTCACCAATGACATCATATCCGGAAACTTTGACATCATATCCGGAAAAAGTTCATCAAGATGAGGTTTCTTACTATAAAGATATATTACATTTCTACTTAGAATGACCCAAATAATACACATACCAAAAATTATATTTGGGGTTAGTCGCACTTTACTTAAGATAAAGTACATATCGGTATGCATTCAGTAAAATAAACCTTTTGACAATTGACCATTTGCGTAATAGACTAAATTTTGATCTCAACAAAAATTTTATTACAGCTGGAAAGAGCATCACAAAATTAGTAATATTCCAAAGTTTCGTTGCAAAATGTTGTAAAATGCGGAAAATATAGCCTTGCGAAATTTGCAATTTTCAGTCATTTTAGATTACAAACCGGAAATTGACAGCCTCGAAGGGTTTGGGGCTGTCAATTTCTCGTTTGTAATCTAAAATGACTGAAAATTGCAAATTTCGCAAGGCTATATTTTCCGCATTTTACAACATTTTGCAACGAAACTTTGGAATATTACTAATTTTGTAATGCTCCTTCAAGCTGTGATGAAATTTTTGTGTAGACTTGTTTAGTTCAAAATTTAGTCTATTGCGCAAATGGTCAATTACGTCGGAATGAAGTGTTCGTTTTTCGTGACGACTCCAACATTCTTCAGTCTCATTTCATTACTCCAATCATGTTTCATGCCAAAAAATGTCGGAGATGTTGTAGGACTTACGGTTTTGAATACCTTGGAACGTTTGCTGGTGATGTGGTACCAACCGCAGATATTGCGTACGTACATGGCACTTGGCTGAAAAAGAAGCGCCAGCCTGGGTCATAACCTATACTTGGAAGTCATATTCTCACCTGAGGTCCTTGTGCAAATCCTAAAAAGAACTCCCTACTGACTTTCAGTTGATTGATTGTTTCGACCGTTTCGTGGATCTAAAAAAAAAACGTTAAATTACACCGCGCTCGTATCCACCTTGTTTGACCAACCAATAATTAAAATGCAACAATGTCATACTGTACACTTGTAGGAGCTAATCCTCAACTTCGTGAACAGTCGAATAACGAACTTATCCACAGTACAGTACCATGTGCCATTGTGCCGTTGTAACGTGTGGACATGGCGAGATTTTGTGGGCTAGGGGTGGGAGATGCACACCTCCCCTCAGATCGTTTTGCACCTTACCTGTAAATTCATGCACCCTCCCTTGAAGAAAGTCAAATGATGGATCAGAGTCAAAATTTGACATTTAATTTTCATGTTTTGAAAACGTGATACTCATATTCACCTCTGTGTCAATTACCATTTTAATTCATGCAATGTTTCGAAAGAAACTTCGCAGTGTTGTAACGAGACGAAATTGGATGAGTAACAGAGTCATATTTCATAAATACATTGATAGACATATACAGTACAGTGTAGCCTCCTCCGCAGGCATCGCCTTTCGATTATCGGGCAAAATTTCTTGCAGGCAAAAAAATCTCACCGACTTTCTGAAGTACGTGAACTACGAGATGCCTGCGGAGGAGGCTAAGTACAGTGTACATGCATTGACTTCAGGGGGCTGCGTTCTAAGCCCTAACATCACAGTGCACCTCCCCGAAATGTTCTTCCACCTCCCCCAGCATTTCCACCAAAATCCAATCTTGCTTGTGGTACTCGAATTAAGTCGAAACACTTGCTGAAAAAATTTGCAACGCTCTTCCTTCTTCCCATTTTCCTTCATTTAATAGGAAAACAACTTCAATAAATGAAACTATTGTTCATCGCTGGACTGCCCTTAATCGTACGCGACAATCATATTTGTAAAGCTGGAGTCGTATATGTGAATTGGATATCCCACACTGAGGGCATACATATAATATTCCTGCGAAAGTTACCAAATCGGGCATCCCACTCCATGGTCAGTGGTACAATCACTCGTATTTAAACCAGAAACGTAGGGTTCGAATCCCGATTGGGATATTCGATTTCATTTGAAGACCACAAGTTCTTTCACTGCCAAGGACAACAAGTAATACACTATATACTGTACCTTAGCATCCAAGTTCGTGATTTCTTGTTGGCTTGCAGTTGATAGCAGGAATGATTGCATCTGTGCTTTAAGCGTGTCATCCTAAAGAAATAAAGCAATTGGGAGAAAATACTATAAAAATATCATTTTGTTAACTCAGAAAAGAGTCAAGAACAAGACACAAACTTCAAAACAGGCGGTATTTTGACTTCCTCCAATGGCCATGTATGTGGAGGTTAATGCCCTTGCCCAACAGCGGGGGAGCTGGCTCTAAGCTGTAGACTTGCCGGGCGGGGGCCGGGGTGGTACTCTCTTCACCACAGAACTCGGGCACAAGTGTAGTGCTGGAGGCAAGCAGGCGAAACGAGTGGAATTGAGAGGATATTTCGTGTGTGAAAGATGGCTGACTGGTGTTGTTCAGGAAAGCGAACTGACGAAAGAGAAGATGGCATGATTAGCGGTTATTAAGCCGTGTAGCAAAGCACAGAACACGTCACAAGTAATATACAAAATTATTCTGGTTATAAATAATATATGGTAATTATACAAACTCTGTCTTACGTCATCTATAACGACTCTGAATGCCATACGCCAAAATGATGTACGTTTTTGGCTTTTTATCCATCTGCCATAGCGCCAGTTTGCCAGAGC